TCCTCCGGACACACCTCCAGACCAGAGCCCGCACTCTCCCAGGCAAACTTGGCTCCCTGAGGAGTTGGGGGGATGGAACAGGCTTGACTGTTCTGGGCGTGGGGGCACAGGGTAGTCCACCATTCCCAATCCTCAGCCTTCAGCCAAGGAGAACGGGGGGGCACTGACTGTCCGGGTGCCCTCATGGGGGCCTGCAGGCTCTGAGTGCCCAGTGTGTGCCCCTATCATAGGCCAGGCGGCTTTGCCCAGTTTCCCTTTGTGCTGACCCTGGGCCAGGGCAGTAAGGGGACTCTAGGGGAGCCCCGGCCAGGCCTGTTCTTGCTGCCTCTACGGCACAGGCTGAGGGGTGCCGTGAGCCTGTGTAAGAATCTGGGAAACCCAGCCCCACCCAGAGAGGAACCTGAGGTGAGGGGTGCAGGCCTAGGAGGGATGTGGGGACATCAGGCCCTTCAGGGGGCCCTGTAGGGTGGGCACCCAGGTCCCCCTCACCTGGTAGCCCAGCCTCCGGGCATTGTCTAGGGCCCCACCCAGCGTCCGGATGCGGTACTCCAGGAGGGCCCTGGCGGCCTCTGGGTGGAACATCAGGATATTTGGGAACATCCAGAGATCCTAAGAGCACAGCCAAGGGCCCCTGGTTCAGGAGCTCTCGCTCCCTTCTCTCTCCCGTCTGCCCACACTCTGCCCTGGCCAGAGTCAGCACTGCTCCATGCCGCCTCCCCAGCAGCCCCTCTGTCTCCTTCCAGCTTCTTCCTCTGCTGCCCACCCTGGCTCCATCCTGGGCCATCCACACCTGCCCATCCCACGGCCCAGTCTCCAGGCCGAACGCTCCCCCGGCCCGGTGCCCGGCGCAGTACTTCCCCTCCCCAGCAGGCCTCTGGGTCTGCCCCGGAGCTCAGGCCAGAATCTGGGCATGGGCAGCCCGGACGGGAGCCTGCTCTGTGGCTCACTAGCTGCCTGACCTAGTGAGTGACTCAGCTTCTCTAAGCCTCACCAGAGTGGGCCACAGCATTGGCTGCTGAGGGGTTAGCACCCTGGGTCCCTCCCGTGCCCAATGTCCGCCAAGTCCCAGCCTCTCCCAAGTCCCAGCCACAGGAGTGGCTCCCACTCCTGTCTGAGGCCTCACCCTCTTCTACCCATGCTCCACTCAGCAGCTAGACTACACCTCTGTCAGTGTCACTCCCAAGTTAAAGTCTCCATGGCTAATCCTAACCACGCCCCCCCCCTCCCCCGGCCTGCATCTGCTCCTCTTGCCGTGGTGAGAGCCCCTGTTGCCCTGGCCAGATGGCACACACCCTCTGAGCTCTGGTGTTTGTACCTTCTGGTCCCTCTGCCCGAGTCACTCTTTTCCACCAAAGTCCTGTACGTCCCACCTCCTCCAGGAAGGCTCCCCTTCTGCCCTGGCCTCTGTGCCTCTCCAGTCACAGTCCCCATCCCAGGTAGGGCAGAGACAGCAGCCACACCTGTGCCCGCAGCCACGGGATCCCCCGCACCCGTGTGCTGCCCCACCTGTGCATGCTGTGTGTCGGGAGGTAGAACAGTACATACCTGGTCCCAGAAGACATGGCCCCAGTAGCATTCCTCTCGGCTCCCATTGGACAGGCCCCCAGGGCTGAGGCCATGGCTGGCGTACCCTGGGGCCCCCGGCTGGGGCAGCGCACTGAGCAGGTAATAGAGGGCACCACGCAGGGCCTGGCGCAGTGGTAGGGGCCCCACCACGTCCAGGCCACAGCCAGCCCAGAGCTGGGCCCAGGCCTGGGCGTGGGCAGGGTACAGAGCGGCCCCCGCCTGCAGCTGCAGGGCCTCCGTGAGGCAGGCTTGGGCCTCCGCCTGGCTGCCGCCCACCACGGTCAGGAACTCCCAGGTCCGGTCTTCTTCGCTTTCCCCGAGGGTCAGGGCTGGGGGCACTGGTGTCCATAGCATGTGTACCTCCTGCTGCGGCCCCCCAGGTTGCTCTGGGGTGAGTGTGTGGCCACAAAGGTACCTGCAAGAGTGCGGCCATGTCTAAGGGACCAGCTCCCTCCTCGGTCTACCTGGCCAGCCCTGACGGCCTCCTCACCGGGCTCCCTGGAAGTCAGGACCCAGATGCAGGTGAAGGTCCGGGCTTTCTGGGGAGAAGGTCGACTGCAGCAGCACCGTAATGGGTCGGCTCTCCCCGGCCATGCGGGTGATGGACACACTGAAAGCCAGGACGTGAGGCAGCGTGCGGTGGGCGTAGAGGCGCTGGGAGGCCCGGAAGCTGGGGCCCTCTAGAGTGTGCAGAAAGGAGCCTGGGGAGGGGCAGAGGGGGGTCAGGGCAACTCACACGCCCCACTTAGGACCCCCGAGGACAGTTACCAAGCTACCAGCCCCTCGGCAAGGTGGATCCGCCCTCTGAGCCCCAGCTGCCCCATCTGGGAAGCTACAGCTGCACAGACGGCCCCACGCACCAGTGCCAGCCAGGTCGGGAGGCCGGCAGGGCTGAAACCCTCGTCTTCTCTGTGAGCCAGCATCCTGAGTTAGGAGGTGCTGGGATGGGACTGCTGTCGGTTGCCGCACTCACCTCGGGTGTGGGGGAGCGGGACAGTGGTGGCTACCTGTATTAGTGTCCAGGGCAAAGGTCTTGGTCAGCTGATTTCCGGTCTCTGCAGGGGCCTCCAGCTGGACGTTGAGGGGACTAGGCAGAATGGCCCGGTGTGTGTCCCCACAAGCCCCATTGTACACGCCGCTCACATGCAGCGTGTCATGATACACACGCGTGCCCAAGTATGTGTTGGTCACGGTGGCCAAGAGCCGGGGGTCACCGGGCAGAGAATGGGCACTGAAAACGGTGGGGTCCTCGCTGGCATCCTCCATGGAAAGGCTTGCTCAGCAGATTGGCCTGGAAAAGGGGGCGTCAGGGGCCCCACAATTGGCCGGCCTTGTTCCCTCTTCTGACTGTAAACCCCCAGGCACCCGCTGGAACTTGGCGGATGCCTCCGAGAGCTGGTGGGAGGGGTGTGGGCCACCCGCACTCAGCCCTGATTTTCCATAGCCCTTACTTTTGAGCCACCCCTGGAAACACCCCCAACCCTGAGAGACGCTCAAACCCCTGATGCTGATCTCCAGAGACCCAGTGAGTCCCCAGATTCCCACCTTCAGACTTCAATTCGAACCCTGCCAGCTCTCTCCAAGCCGCGCCCCCACAAGCCCAGACCTGTTAGTGGGGAGCTCGGAGGCCTCAGTCTTCCGGACCTGGGGGAGGGGCGCCGTCGCCGGGCGGGGAAGCGGCCCGAGCTCTGCGGAGCGGGCTGGGGAGGAGGGTCTCTGG